CTGGAAATAATGACTAATTTCAAACAATTTACATAAATTCAATCAATTCAATCAAAAACAAAAAATATGATTTCAATCAAAAACATTTCCTGGATAAGTACAATTATCTTTGTCAAAATATATCATCCATATGTATCCCAAACATTAAATATTTCAAGACCTATAGCTTGATTTTTCAAAATAAATTTTTGAAAAATACTGAAATATTTGTTTTAAATCTCAGTTATTCTGAGAACTTTCAGCAAACACTTAATGTGCAGTTTCACTTGAAAAATTTCGAAAATAAATATTCTATGAGTAATCTATTAACCTCTTCCTTGATAAATAATGTGCTTGTTGGGCAGGGGGAGGATGCACAAACATAAATCACTCATAGAAGTTGTTTGTTTGGTTAAAAGAAATTCAATATCACCGATTATCTTTTTATAGAAAGGTCTTGAAAAAATCAAGGTAAGATTTACATGCATTTTTGTCAAATTAATTGAAAAAATTAAGAAATTATAATTAGGGAACTATCATATACCTTTATTAACCATAAGTATAAAAGTTAAATCTTCTGAAATCACTATGCTGTTAGCAGTTTCACTTTAAAAGATCACCGACTAAAATAATAACTCAAGAGACATTAGCTTCCAGTTTTGAATGATTAAATGGTGTACAAACAAGTCTATCAACTTTTAACCTGTACAAAACAGTGATACATTGTACTGACATCACATTAAACAACTTACTGCAAAATAATACAATGACACCATTCCTTTTTAGGTAATTCACATATATGAAGTAATCTCTCTATAACTTTATTCCACTCTTCAAATTATTTTTTATAAGATTTTCTATAACCTTTTCATTATAATAGAAAGACGGTAAAAAATCTTAACCATTCCATTTTCATTTCATATTATATATATACATACATACATACATACATACATACATACATACATACATATATATATATATATATATATATATATATATATATATAATATATATTATATATGTATGTATATATATTATATATATATATATATGTATATATATATAATATATATATATATATATATTATATATATATATATATATTATATATATATATATATATATATGTCATCATCATTGCGGAGCTATCGCCGATGGGGGCGCATAGCCGCATCCACCCTTTGCCTCATGGCAAGTCGCCAGGCAGGGACTCAGCCCATCTCAAGCTCCTCACGACAGGTTTGATCGATCTGCCCAAGCCACGACTTCCTAGGTCGACCCATAGGCGTCTTCCACCCAGGGTTGTCTCGAACAGAGACAACCTGGTGGGCGGGATCATCCTGAGGGAGGCGAGCCAGGTGGCCGTAAAGCATGAGTTGGCGATCACGGATTGTGCAGGTAATAGGTCCTGTGCCAGTCTCACGGTAGAGCCGTTGGTTGGACACATGGTCCCGCCAACAGTACCCCATGATCCGGCGCAAGGACCTGTTACAAAAGGCATCAAGTCGAGACTCCAAGGCGCAGGATAGTGTCCAGGTTTCACTACCATATAGCAAAACTGGGACCATCAGGGCCTTGAAGACATGAAGCTTGGTCCTTCTGCACAGGTACCAGCATCTCCAAATACTCCTGTCGAGAGAGTTCATGACCCCTGCTGTCAGGCCAATCCGTCTGCTGACTTCATGGTCTGACAGCCTAGAGTTATGAACTGCACTACAAAGGTATGTAAAGCCGTTGGTTGGACACATGGTCCTGCCAACAGTATCCCATGATCTGGCACAAGGACCTATTGCAAAACGCATCAAATCAAGACTCCACGGCACAGGATAGTGTCCAGGTTTCGCTACCGTATAGCAAAACTGGGACTATCAGGGCCTTGCAGACACGAAGCTTGGTCCTTCTGCACAGGTATCGGCATCTCCAAATACTCTTGTCGAGAGAGTTCATGACCCCTCCTGCCAGGCCAATCTGTCTGCTGACTGCCTGCTCTGACAGCCCAGAGTTATGAACTGCACTACAAAGGTATGTAAAGCTCTCTATGACTTCAATGTCCTCGCCACAAGCACGTACCAACTGAACAGGTTCTCCTAATATGTCCCCAAAGTCCTGGATCTTGGTCTTGGTCCAGGAGACCTCTAGGACTTCGCTTCATTACTAAATGCATCCAGAGCCACCACTAAGGATTCCAAAGACTCAGAATGGCAACATAATCAGCAAAGTCAAGGTCAGTAACCTTGATATTGCCCAGAGTTGCTCCACAGTGACTTTGAACAGTAGCTCTGCCCATTATCCAATCTATGCAAGTGTTGAAAAGCGTTGGTGCAAGGACACAGCCTTGCCTCACTCCTGAACTAACATGAAAGAAGCTTGACAGGCCCCAACCACACTTTACAGCACTTTCAGTACCAGTATACAGACTTGCTATTAGTTCAATAATCCTTGTTGGAATTCCTCTCAGTCTCAGGATCTCCCAGAGTGATTCCCGATGCACCATATCAAATGCTTTCTTGAGGTCGATGTAGGCTGCAAGCAGCCCATGCCCGTACGCATGACGACGGTCTATAATGACTCGAAGCGCAAGGATACGGTCTATTGTGGACTTACCATGAGTGAATCCAGATTGCTCCAGTCTCTGATGCCTCAGTAGGTGACCTCTGATACGTTTTAGAAGGATGTGGGCGAGAACCTTGCCTGGTATACTGAGCAGTGTGATGCCTCGGTGGTTGCTGCAGTCCCATGGTCCCCCTTCCCCTTCCAGAGAGGGATGACCACACCCCTCAACAGGTCAGGGGGAACGGTACCAAACCGCCAGATGGCAGCCAGGACGATATGCAACGCCCGCGCCATAGGTTTACCACCAGCCTTTAACAGTTCAGTTGGTATGCCACATATACCAGCTGTTTTACCACTCTTCAGCTTGGAGATCGCCCCCTAACTTCGGTTAGGAAGGGGGCTTTCTCACTGTTGGGTGGGTCCGGAAACCGAATCTCGGCACTACCCATTTCAAAGTTAACTGTTGGTGGGTCAACTTGGTACAACTGCTCAAAATACTCAGCCTAACGTTCCCACACCACATCAGGATCTGAGATGATCTGACTACTTACTGAGCGAACTGCTGTCACCTGTGAAGAGGGCTTGGAGTTCAGCTTTCTCAGGGCTTGGTATGCAGGTCGAAGGTTATTTACTAAGAAATGGCCTTCTACCTCCTCAGCAAGATTGCTAATAAACTGTTCCTTGTCCTTCATAACAAAGACCGAGTTCTGCGGACCTGAGAACAATGCAAATCTCGATCCCCTGCCAGACGAGCCCCACGACAATCATCTGTGGCATTCTGTGTCTCCTGTGAGATGAAATTTCGCCTTGCTCTCGGGCGTTCAAGAATTGTCTCCTGAGCTGCATCAAGCGTTTCACATTTGAAGGTGTCCCACAGAAGTACAGGGTCCGTTAGATTTTCGAGCGCTGTGAAACGACCAGAGACTGCCTCAGCAAACCCTCGGGCACATTCCCCCTCCCTCAGCCTGTCCAAATGAAACACCCTGGGGTGATCATTGGTCCACTGGGGGGCTTTGAAATGGACCAGGAGGGTAGCCACAACCAATCTATGGTCAATACCACAAAACTTGACACTCCTATATACCCTGCAATTCTGGAGTATCCTCCAAGTGCTAACGAGTATGTGGTCGATCTCCTTGGCTGCATTACCCGCATCAATGTACCATGTCCAGCGATGTGGGTCTGGGCGCTGGTACCAGGAGCCAGAAATCCTCAATTTCTGGGATCTAGCAAAGTCCCAGAAAAGGAGGCTATTCTTGCTGCCGGTATCAGCTCCCGAAACATGGGGACCGACAGACATCTCATAGCCAGCTCGATCACAGCCAGATACCGCATTGAAGTCACCCAGGACAACACAAATATCTCACCGGGGGCACCTGTCTCACACAGACGCTAGTTTGGCGTAGAACATCAAGCTTACAAACATCCGTAGGAGCGTACACAGCAATAAGAGACATGAAGCCAAAAGACAGCTTCAGTCTCATTACCATTATACTTTCATCGACTGGAGCAACCCCTACTACTGAGGGCAGCTCTGCTGAGATGGCCATGGCTACCCTGGATGGTGACCGTTGCTGCGGCCTGACCAGTAGTAGGTATAGAGAGAGAGAGAAGAGAGAGAGAGAGAGAGAGAGAGAGAGAGAGAGAGAGAGAGAGAGAGAGAGAGAGAGAGAGAGAGAGAGAGAGGAGAAGAGAGAGAAAGGCGGGGAGAGGGAGAGAGAAAGGGGGGAGAGGAGAGAGAAGAGGAGGGAGAGGGCAAACGAAAGTAATATGTATAGTATATATATATATATATATATATATATATTATATATATATATATATACACTTCATTACACTCATTTTTTTATGTGTGTGTGTTGTAATATCGTGGTGGTATATATATATATATATATATATTATATTTATAGTATATATTTATATATATGAGTGAGTAGTAATGAGCTAATGAGAGTATAGCTGTAAGGTGTAAGTGTGTAGTGTGTGTGGTGATAGATATGTGTGAGGTAGTGTGATGCTGAGTGTGTTGAATGTGTGTGTGTGTCGTGGGCTCTTGTGATGAATGTGAAGTATTTATGTATGCTAGGTGAAAAACTTGTAATCAGTGAGGTTCATGTTGTAGATTTGCCCGGTTGCCTATGCTCAAAAGGTCTAACAATCGGCGAAAACCTAATGCAAAAGAGTAAACTTTTGAGATTAAGCGGGGGTATAACTGCGATTAATTCGTCCATTGTTTATTTTGAAATAATTTCGTAATATCTCATTTTAGCACCATTCCAATTCTTTCAAGTTAAGAGAATCTCTGGAGATCCTCAAGAAAATGAGAGATCATCAGAAACACCGATTCTCGCCTCTACTAAAATCCCTACCAGCCCGAACCACAACAGTAGAGGGGGTTACAGAGGTCTAGTTCTTATCTTACTAGACATAGAGCAGCGTCCACTTGGCAAGAGAGCTATGTCAAC